GGCCGGGAGCGCTGAGGGTGAGGGTGCCGTGCGTGTGTGCATGTGGGCACTGCGGCGGCCCTGAGGCACCTGCACTGAGCCGCCATCGAACCGTCACCGCGGTGAGCGGCGCCCAGAGACCGTGGGTGGGCTCATACTCGGTGAGTCACCGAGGGATCACAAAATCACAGAATGGGTCAGGTTGAAAAGGGACCGCAGTGGGTCATCTGGTTCAACCTACCTGCGCAAACAGGGTCATCCTAGAGGACTGTGTCCAGGTCGTTCTGGAGTATCTCTTGTGGAGGACACTCCCCACGCTCTCTGGGCCGCCTGTTCCAGTGCGTGGTCACCTGCACAGTAAAGAAGTTCTTCCTCATATTCAGGTGGAAGTTCCTGTGCATCAGTTTCTGCCTGTTGCCCCTTGTCCTATCCGGCACCACTGAGTGGAGCCTGGCTCCATCCTCTTGGCACCCCCACTTTAGATATTTGTATGCATTGATCAGGTCCTCTGACAGATGTTTCTTCTCTCTTCTCAAGACTGAACAGGCCCAGCTCCTTCAGCCTTTCCTCATAAGAGAGATGCTCCAGTCCCCCACTCATCCTCATTGCCCTCGACTGGATCCACCCCAGGAGCTCCGTGTCTCACTTGTAGTGAGGAGCCCAGAACTAGGCTCCCTACAGGCCTGGGTGCTGAGCACCAGGCTCCTGGGGAACCTCAGGGAAGCTTGTGTGTGTGTGTCTTTGTGTGTGCAGCCTCTGATGGGGATGTCAGGTCCTCCAGCCCTTGGGGTGCCCGAGGCTTCCACAGCAAGGACTTGAAGTGGCAAATGAGAGTTTCATTGGTGGCTGTTTTCATCGATAAATTGGTTTCTGACCATAAAAAGGCTTCCCAGTCAGTGAGCAAGAGGTCCTTTATCATGCTTCAGTGTTGCTGGGACCACATTCCTGTGACAGTGGTGTGATTGATGGAGGAATCAGGAAATCTAGTGTCCCACCTGCAACTCTTATTTAGGAGTCTGCAATATATTTAAATGACCAGCCTTTAGTTATTACTTGCATGAGGCAAGAGTAACCACTTCGGGACACAAAACATGGATTAAAAAAATAAATTTTAAAGGTGATAAATTGCCAGAAGTTGTCATACATTTGAAAACACAAGAACATTATTCCCTAGAAATTAAGAGAAATGAGAAGCAAGGAGACATATCTGAAACTCGGGACTTGTAAGAAATACAAACCAGAATTTTCAAAAAATCTACCCTCTTTTCCTATCTTTAACATTTTAGACTGAAAAGTGATATGAAAAATCAGTCATTTTATTCAATACACAGCCTCTTACAGGAGACTGCAAAAATTCTTCCAAATGTAGCATTTCCTCTGTTACCTGGCATTGTTGCTTTCCATTCAGTGGAAGGTGAGTTTTAAACATTACACTCTCAGGGAAGTGAGAAGCCCAGGAGCCTTCCCCAAATACCAGATAGACCTTATATGCCTCTGGAAGATAATAAGCAGTCTAGAAAATTCAGTAGAAGGAATAATGCCATGTTATTTATTACTGAAATAGTTTCCCATCAAAGTTTCAAGTGCAGTTTTTCCCCAGATTGACATTATTTCCCTCATATGAAATTTTTGGCTCTTTATTCAGAAATACATTGTTTCAACTAAGAGCCAAGTTCTTCGTGTTGATACATTCACAGAAATTAGTAGAGCGTGATGTAGGCAAAATCTTCCACACGAATGCTTTTGGCCTTACTGGTCTAGAGCATTTCTGCTTTATACCATTAAGTGCCTTTATGTTTTTGTTTTGTTTTGTTTTGTTTTTTTTTTTTTGTTTAACCACAAGTTTGATCTCTTTCCTTAGAGTAAAATGTGAATATTACAATTGTTTTCTGTAATTTTAAACTATACCACTTCAGTTAATGTTTATAAACTGTTTTGAGAATTTTAATTGAACAAAGCCATGCAAATGCAACATGTTAATTTTTTTGTTTTGTCTTTTTTTTAATTAAGGGATTTTGGCTATGCCACTTCTGCAATGAATGTAAGAGAGTGTTAATAAAAAAAAAAAGTTACCAGCCAATCTACAAAGAGTTCTCATATAATCTGAAAAGAGAAAATGCAAGAAAACACATGATACAAAGAGGAGCTTTCAGCATGAGAGCCAAAAAAAGGGGAATGTATGCTTTCAGAGTAAGTTGAGTTTTTTTTAAATGGCATTATTTAAGTTAGTAATTATTGCTGGTTTTAAACTCTTGGCTATTGAAGTTTATATATGCCCTGCAAATCTTGAACTCTGAAGATTTCTTTTACTGATGAAGTTCTTTGAACTTACATGTCAGCTCCATGTGTTGTGTTAATTTGATCGGTTTCGGGCCAGAACTTTGCTGCTTCTTTCATGGAAAGAGTACATGCAAAAATAAATGTCCATTAGCTTTGTAGCTTGGAGAAATTGTCCTCTGCTGCTGCTTTTTCCAGTAGCAGATCTGGAAAGCAGAAGCAGGACTTTCTGGTAGTTTTATTTCCAAGTCTAATAGACAAGAATGATGAATGCTGAGAAGTGCAAAAGGGAGTGAGTCACAACTTCTCGAGGAAATAAGAACAAATACAAAGGAAAAAAAATTGATAGAACAACTTTGTACTGGAGATTTAATGGTCAGAAATAGTTCTTGAGGGAGGGCATATGCAGCTGTGAGTCTGATAACAGTCTCATGCTATTTGGGGCTAGTAGAAATTATCAGAGATGAGAAAGCATCAGAGAAATTGCCAGATAAGCAAATGAGACTGACATTATGCAGAGCAGGAATGGCATAAGATGGTAAGGTAGAAACTGTCCACAAAGGGCTTTAAATTAGGATAAATACATTGTGTCTGACTTGGAAGCCAGTGCAGTGATCCCAGGAAGTGGCACAATGGCTGACTCAGTGGCACAGGAAAATTATTTTCTTACAGCAGCTTGAATGAATAGAAGCAGAACAGTTTTCACCACCAGAAAAGAGAAAGTTACTGTGTGAGAGATGTGAAGTGTTAAGTGCCATATCAAGAATTTTAGTAACACAAATAAAAAGCAAAACACTTCATAAATACATGGTCTTCATGCTTTTATATGGGGTCTTGATGTTAATAAAATCATTGACTTATATAGAGAAAAGATAAATTTACTTCCTTCATTAATGTGGAAGTGCCTGTGAAAAAGAACTCAATCTTCTAGGAGCATCCAAGGGTATAAAGGAATGGTTTCATTTAAAAAAATAAAAAATAAAAAATAAAAAAAAGTGCAAAGTGGGTCATAAACATGAGGTCTAACTTTTTTCTTATCCCAAGAGAGAGTTTTGAAATGACATTTGGAGTATGCAATTTGTGTTTAGTCAGATCTTTTTTAATATGAATCTTGCACAGCTTGGGCAGCCCTGTGAAGTTGTGCTGAAACGTGTTGGGGCTTTTGCCATGCAGCACTTTGATACAAGTTCTTACTGTATGCTTTGTTTAACTGAGACACTTATCCAGCAAACTTGCTTAACTGGGACATCTCCTGAGGCACTGGTGTAAGACCAGTACTACTTAATACACACAACTGCTGCTTAACAGGGCCCTATCAGAACAGGGGCTACTGTTTAGTGCCCCTGATTATCTGGTGCTACTTATGTCATCTCTCTGACACAGTTTCATGGAACTTGTCTATAAAAAGAAAACACCCCCTGCAATTAATTCCATGAGGGTAAAATACTGGGTGCAGTAGTGGAAATAGACTGATGATAGTGGTCACAATTTCTGCACTGGTTGTTACAGTGGAGAAGATATGATAACTTCCATTATAGTCTTAAAGGATGCTTGAGAGAATATTTTTCTCATAAAATTTTAAAAACACTATATAGTCAGTAGTGTTGAGTTACAGTAATTTCTGTGTTTCTAAGGTTCATATTGTCATTTGGTTACCTAATCGCCTATTTTCCAAAGTGTGAACATATTTTCACACATCAACCAAGACAGTGTTAACAAAGAAACTATAGGTAGCAATAGAGATTAATTATCCATCCTATGAGTCTCCACACCTTATTCTTACCAGATAAAGAGAGCCTATCTGTCTGCACACAGGTGTGATTTATTTTTTTTTTAAACAATAGCCTTGGTCAAATGGGTTCAAAGGCTTATTTTCAAATGGCATTTCTTTGAAATGTTTGTTCACTGTTGATGTTTTTGATCTTGTTTCATGAAATATAACTTCCAGTAAAGGGTTGTGATTCTTTGCTAAGCTTCCCCATGTGAAATACATTCATTCATAGGTGTGAGATGTGGGGGAGCTTTAAATGAGAATATTTAGAATTAAAGAAACATTTCCTTCTTTTCTGGAGGGAATGTACCCATACAGAAGTCACTGCAAAGTTGTTGAGGGCCTTATTTGAAATTGCCATCTGAGATTTTCTCTGACTTGAGAGATCTTCCAGAAGAGGGAAAAACATGAAGGAGGAGTTTTAGTGTCTTTCTGTTATACAAGTTTCAGCATTTTGTATTTATTCCCCCACAGAACTAAACACATCCATATATCTGTTTAAGGAGAGGAGGTCTTTACAGCATAATCTGTTACTGTAGGAAGAAACATTAGGAATACTGAACTATTTCTGCTGTGTCTTGTGAGCCTCTAAATCTGCCTGTTCTGGATATTAGTGGATGCTAGTATGTTGCAGACCTCTGAACCTGCAGCCTGTCAAGCCTCACACAAGTGGCATGAGACTTCTGCAGTGTTTTCACAGTGAAGGCAGTGGCACTGCATTGCCTTGGCCTCTCTCTTGCTCTCAAAGAACAACTGGCACATTGCTATGTGGCAAGTTGTGTGGTGGCAGTGCCTATCTCAAGTGCTGTGGACTGTTTCTTACCATTACACCAAGAATCAAACCTTTCCCTTCATGGGATTGGCCTTTCCACTCAAGTTTTAGGGCTGTTGGCACCATCTAATCAAGGTGACTACCAAAACTTGCTGTCTCTAGCAAGATGTCACTGAAGTTGTATATAGGGAGCTGGCCATCTGCTCAAGTAGAATTACATTAAAAAATAATTCTTTTTGCCAATCACTACTAGATCTGATTGGCAAAGTGAAAAACAGTTCCATTCCTTTTCTGAAGTCTGCATACAAGAGCACACTCACTGGTTTTTGTTTCCTAAGAATTCCTCTTTTGTATCAACAGATCCAGATGTATCCCAAAGTTAAAAACTCTATAGCAGGTATAGATCACTTGACTATCATTAAGATTTTTAAATCTTATTAGTTCAGTAGTAAAAAATGAAGGGAAGGTCTACCATCAAAACAAAGCAGACTGTAACCTTTCATTGTTTGATTGAACTTGCTTACAAGAACAGTTACTTTTCAGGTATCTTCACAACAGCTACAGGGTTACTCTCACTTGTATTGCAAGTTTTGTTTAGAAACTTATTTGAGTCATTACTGGCGCTTAGGATTTTCATTTTCCCTTCTTGCAGCTCTGCATCCAGTCACAGCTTTTATTTCTCTTCATGATGTTCTTTGAAAAACTACTTAGCCATTCTCTTGTTTTACCCTTTCCCATTTTTGTGCCACACAGAGAAGGACTAATTCTGGATGATAAATGTTGAAAAAGAAATGGTCCAGTGTTCAGTGTGGCTTCTAGGCCACAGTAACCCCTGTGTGGTGCAGTCCTCTAGCTATGTGAGCTGGCACAAGAGCCCTCTTGCTGTCTTTCCATTAGTACTACTCTGGATATTTCCTAGTCACTCCTTGGTGTGGTTTTAATTTGTTTGGGTTGTTGGGGTTTTTTTGTGCCACAGCAGAGAACATCTCTATGGAGGCAAGCTCTGAAATTCTAAGCTAGTTTCATTCTTCAGTGCAGTGGTTACAGCTCCACCCTTGGTGTCAGGAGTTGTATTACAAGTACAGAAAAAGAGTAAGCCTTTAATAACTGAAATGCACTACATAGTCAGTCCTGTTTGAGTGTTAGTCTTGTTTGTACATACTCATTTTGTTTAGTAAATCCCTGCTTAGATATACAAATCCTCTTAACTGCTGGTTGAGCCTCTTAAGAATCATTGTTTGTTTCTTTAGTTCTGGAAATGTTTGTTTCTTGTAGGGCACATCACCCTGTAATGTAGGATCATCATTCTGCCTCGAAGTTCAACTGCAGTAGTTGCTTCATTCATCTCTGAACCACAAAGAACCTTAGAGATAGGAAAATAAGAGCTCCCAAAGAGCTTAAGCAGTTTGCCTGGAACTGTGATGGAATGCTAGTGGTAGAGCACAGATCGAAGACCAAGCTCCTCAATTTATAGTCCATTCAGATTACTTGGGATTGTAAGATTACTCATGATTCAGGAAATTATGCCTAAGTACAATCCATACTTCTACATTTGGATGGGCATCACTGGAAATTGTAAGATCTGAGTCATCGGGACAGAAGAAAAAAGTGATGAAACAAAAGCTACTTATTAATGTATGTAGAAAGGGCTGCTGAAATGAAAAAGAAAAGAATATCATTGCTGAATGTGATCCTTATGCGATCTCAAAAAATCTGTCAGCAGATGGCTTCTTTTTGAATGTACCAAGCTCTCAGTATTTAACTTAGAGTAAATCCTCACACCTATCCAACCAGTAGTATAGTGTTACATAATTATCTATGACCTTATATTTGCATACCTATTTAGTTTATATTGTTGAGAAGTCATTGGTTGGTTGTCTTTTTCTCCATGAAATAAGAAATACAATCTGAGATACAGGGATTTTTTCCTTAACATGTACAATTAAATATCTATAATTTGTTTCTAATTCAAGCTTGTCACTTAAAGTCTGAAAAACAGAATGTGAGTAGAGGAAAACGCTTTCCTATCATGACAGATATGGTCAGAACATTTTTTTGGAAAAAAAAAAACTTTTTTAAAAAAACTTTTCTCTCTCCTTTAGTTTATAGGTGCATAGTAGTGATCCAATAATGATAATGCTGAGCACTTCTCTATATTCACCACTCTGGAAAATTCAATGTGACTTAAGGTTTAACACTACTCTGCTAAGGAACCTCAACTGACCAGCCCTAATTCTCAGATTATAGTTACTGAGATATGGATGTTGTCAAGAGGAAGAACTGGCAGTCATGAAACTCTATAACCTGAAATTCAGTAAGGGGGGAAAAAAGTCTTACATGCTTCTTTGTGTTCATCCATTGCTTTGAAAA